TTTATAAACGCCTGCAAATTTACCTATTTCGTCGGCATTAAGAAATATTTTAATGGCCAGTATCCTCCACTCTTTCGTTTTTCACTACTTCATACGAATATTCTTCATTAACATATATTACGATTCCTCCGGTATGTACAGAATCTGAATCACATCTAATACTAGAATATCCCTTAATTCCTGCTAATGCATCTTCATCAACATCAGTTACATGTGATTCAACAATTATTACCACGATTGCTCGAATTTTATGTAGAAATACAGAAATCATTTCTGTTTTAGCAATCAGACCATTAACATTTAAAACTTTTAGACGCCTATTAGATTCATTTACCTTTGTTTTATTGCTATGTGCTTTCATACATAATTGTTCTTCTTTTCATGCTCATTCTTCTTTGATAAACAGGACACTCGCTACTGAGTACACTGTGGCTACAATCTAAATTTAATTGTAGCTTACCGTTTGCCTTCACACAATTCATGCATTGTATTGCTGCCGCTTTACTGGCCTTTGCCAGATGACTCCCTCCACATTTTACACATATTTTTCCACCTTTACACGCTTCGCTCCAATGGTCATACGAATAACATTTCATGCATCGCGATAATGCCAAATACTCATGTACTCTACACCTCTGCCATTTGATTTTCAGGCTTCCTTCTTCAATCATTCTTCGGAACGTCCGCGGATCAGTTTCCAGTACTACCATATACGTATTCCTACTTTTCTTGTTGATTTTAACCTCAATTTTAGAATCCGCCCTGACTATTTCTGAGTTTTGATTTTTTAATGCATTTAACAATTCACCATCTTCCATTTCATCTTCAACATCGTATATTCTTATCTTTGGTCCTTTCAGTTCAGGAATTTTAGCTTCGTATTCTTTCTCCATCTTCTTTATCACTTCAGTATTTATCTTCTGGATTTCTTCGTTGGTCTTGCATGTTATTGCAATGCCACCATGTCTTATTTTTCTGACGTTTTCAATTCATACTTTCATCTCCGTTGGATTCAATTTCTCTTTGCATTCCCTCTTAGTTGTCTCACTTGTCTGACTCTGCTTTTTTGGGTGTACAATGATAACTTCTTCCTTGCCCTCTTTAACCTTATTCGCTTAAGTTGCCACATTCTCCTTGTTGTTGGTCCGAATATTTCCGATTTTCTTCATTAACTCCGTTAATTTGCTTGACACCATTTTTTCCAGAGCTATTTTCATACTTTCCATCATTTCACGCATAATTTTCTTGACGGAAGTATCTACCATATGGACATACTGGCCATTGCATTCGTCGCACATCCACTTCAGGTTCCCATTCTTGGATATCAACCGCAGCTCCGGAGCTGTTATCCTCACACAATTCGAGGGGAACCACTTTTGGCATACCCCTTCACATCCAATACATTCATCATTTGTAAATTTTTTCTTGCATTTTCCACAGGTCTCATGTCCGCCGCTGGCCATATTGGTATGAGTTACTACCCACTCTATATGTCTGGGTTAATCTTATCAGAAATCATATTCTCTTGTTAGTCTCTTTCAACTTTTTGACACCTTTTTATTAAATTTAGTTTAATATTTTTATTTATTTTGGCTGTTAAGCACACAAACGCAAATTTTCCGACCACTTGCATCCAGTGATGCTAGGTTAAAGTTACAGGTTCTGAAACAACATGACATACATATGGCTTGTAAGCGCTGTTTAAACAACAATCTCGCCATTATGCTAGATTCTAATTGTTTTTTTTTAAATACTTGACATCCGCATTCGCATTCGCATTCGCATCCGCGGATGTCTAAAATTCCACATCCGCAACATCCCTAGTCAAAAGATGTAAAGAACATCATTAATATTGCTGGCGTGGATTTGGTGACAGGTAATAAGATCAATGGAAATAAGGTCAATTGACTTTATTTCCCACCCTGGTGCGAAATAAAGTCAATTGACATTATTACCTTTTTAAAAACGAAATAAAATCAATTGACATTATTTCTCTTTCAAACAATAAATTTGCTTAGCTTCGCGGCGGCCCGCGTACCCAGCGCGACCGGCGCGCACACCACGTCACGCAACGCCGCGGCCCCCCGCCCCCCCCCTTCCCCGTCTCCCGACGTGCTGTAACGCAGGTAGATTTATTTTTTGTATACGTTGAAATAAAATTTTTATATATTTTAAACATCGAGGGTTTATATTCAATAATACCCCCTATCTGCACAATTTTCACAAAGATGAGATTCTGATATAAAAATCCACCTAAGCTTTAACTGTCATCAGTGATATTAATGTTACCTTATATAACGACAGGTAATAAGTCCCAGATGGTTTCTAAAATCACAAAATAGTTTTTGTGCAAATTGCAGATAGAGGGTATTAATGAATTCAAGCCCTCGATATTTCACATTTTTATATTTGTAAGTTATTGGAAGCAGGGATGCCAACTTGGCTCAAACCGTGCAATTTGTTCCTATTTTACTTCAAATGGCACTTAATTTTTAAATTTGGCACAAAATGCCAAAATGGCACTTTTGTAAAAAAAATAACATTTCAATACATTTTTGTGAAATCCTTAGCGTGCACTTCTTTTTCTCAACTAAAATTTTCTTATTTATAAAGGCTTTTCAACTGGTTTATCTTATTTTATCATTGCACTTTTGTTTTGAAAATGTGGCTTTATTTTATTGCTAAATGTGAATGATTAAAAGGAATTACACCTTTTTTGGCACTTTTATTTTTCTATTTGGCACATTTTGGGACTTTTTTTATCCTCAATTTGGCACCTCATAACTAAGGAGAGTTGGCAGCCCTGATTGGAAGATTTCTGCTGTGTTTTGAGGCAACAACTTGTCTGCAGTAAAAAAGCATATAATTTGTGTTTCAAAAGTGTGTGAAAACCAATCAATTAACTTATATGATCTCCTTAGCTGCTTTTAAATGACTGCTGGCGGAGGCATAAATTCAGTGTAAGAAAATAAGAAAATTCTTTTTTTATTATTGTTTCCTTATAGAAAAGTTGGGTTCTTTTCCACCTTAGACATTCCGAATTCGTTCAAAATATGCTAATTTAAAACACAGAATTCTTTCAGTGCTCCTCCGGGGTTTTTGGACATGTACTGTTTCTTCAATTTAATAGTGTTCGCTTTATTTTTGTAGAAACGAAAAATGTTTTGCAAGTTATGGATCATTTCTCCACTCTTTCTTCAAATATTTCTCATATTCCAGCTGTGCGCAGGTGTTTAGTTTTTCGCATCGTGTTTTTACATATTCGTAATTTAAATTTTTGTTTAATAGAATCAATTGGTGGTAGTTCATGATTGTGTGTGAATTAATATCACAACACTGAGGATTTGGCAAAAGCCTTTTTCTTTTATTAAAAAACAACACTTACGGGGCAATGTTTATTGTAAGAACAACATTTTTTTCTATGAATCGACATACTTTAAGCATTGTTGACGCTATTTCCATTTGAATGAGGAAATAGCGTCAATGACTTTATTTCCAAATTTTTGTTGACTTTATTTCGCTTTTGAAAAGGTAATAATGTCAATTGACCTTATTACCTGTCACCGTGGATTTAGGTCTCTGGTTCCAAACATTCTAATCTTTTTTTTAATATTACGTATAGCGTTTTCTTTTCTCAAAAAAGGGTCTGCCCTTTTATATGTGAACTCTTGCTTTGCGTTGCCCTGAAACCTGAGAAAATGTTGCATTCTTTATATGAGAATGAAACAGAAAATGTACTACTCCATCACAATTTATTTATAGAACTTAACAAAGCTGAATTATTCACTTGGCCTGTAAGTCTTTAACAATTTTAAAGCAAAACACTTAATTCTGATAGGGAAAATAATTGAATTTTTACAAGATTAAATTAAAAATCTACTATTCAACTCTCACCCTCACGTTTATTTTAGGGCAGAAGAGGCAGCACTTTCGCCGGATCAGAGCGCAACCTGCTGAGAAAAGAACACGAGGCCTTGTAAATAGGGCTGAGAAAAGAACATGAAAATGTGACAGCGCTAACACAAGGCAGAATAAGTGCAGAATTTTTTCGAGAAAAGAAAACGCTATTAGCTATAGTTTGCGATTTTTTTTCAAATTTAGGAACAATTTCGGTGGATCTAATAGAAAGTCCATTATTTTCCATCACCGGGAAAAATTTTGTGTATGCAAGTCAGTAACAATAAGTCTCGCCTTCTATTTGGTAATTATTACGTACCGATTGAGTAATATTTACTAAAGTTATATCGAAAAACTTACGTAGATCTCTAGTTTTTTCTAAAAAAAAAATCCTTCCTTAACTTGTTGCTGAAGTAATGAAGAATTCAAAATTCATAAGGGAAAATTATCGTTTTTGTAAGATTTATCTTGATATCTTAAAAACTTGTAGTCTTATTGAAAAATTATATGTGAACGTTAGATACTAAATTTAATAACCTTTAATTTGATATATCGTCCTGTTTATAACAATAAGCGCATTGTATAGTTAGAGCCCAAGTTTAATTTTCGAAATTCATACACTTTGTATTAATTGCGCGGGCTAAAGATAAGTTTTAAATTAATCTTTCGTGGCCAATAACTATTGGCTTAGACCTAAGACGGCATAAGATTACTATTACAATACCGTCAAATGCCTTTTATTTTCCCCTATGCAAAATCGCCCCAGCCTAATATACATATATAAATATATATATATATATATAAATGTGTGTACATATCATTACCTTAATTCGCAAAGGCTCTTGCCAACACTTTTTTGAAACTGCGTTTTTCACAGATTTCAGTAGGAAGTATTAAAATACACCTTCGATAAAAAGTGCTACTACCAAACACAACGGAGTTGCACGCCACTATTTAAAAATCTCTACCTGTTTTTCCACTCTTTCTATAATGTTTTTGCTTCTCCTGGAAAATAAAAACTTTGTTGGTTAGGGCCTTTGTAAATTAAGGTAACCGATATATACATATATTGTCCATATACAAGGATGCGTTAAATATATTATCGTAAAATTTTCTATTTCCAGCAATTTAACAGAGGAACAGCTTTCAAAGCTCAATAGTCTGATTTTGTTTAGTGTAAAAGACAAAGACCTATTTGGCATGACTAGTCAATACATCGCTGAGTGCTACATAACCTTTGCGGACCTCATGGCAAAAGAAAATGAACAAATTCACATCGAACTATCTCGGGCACAATACGCAGGTTTGGCTACAGCGAATATTCTTAACTAAAATAATATAATACTTTCCATAAAATCTTTTTATTTCTAGAATCAGAAACCATTCGTGCATTGGAATATCGGCAGGGTGACAAACAAGCACGAGATTTTTTAAAGAAATTAAAAAATAAATTGAATTCTAAATAAACTATTTATTCTATCATTGCATAGTTTTGGTAATACTGCACGAGTTCTTGTTTAAAATTATTATGTTTTTTTAATTTTTTATTTGTTATTGAAACAACACGAGCACAGATTTATAGTATGTACATACAGTAATACACAGGGACCGTAACGATTATAACTTTTATTATAAAAATCACTTTTTAATCGTTATTAACTGAGTTTTGTTTGTTTGCTCAAAACATAATGATTATTTTTTGAGTTTTACTTTTTTTTGCCCGGAAAATAATCGTTACGTTTTAAGTTTTATTGTTTTGCTCAGAAAATTATCGTTATTTCTTGAGTTTTAGTTTTTACTCAGAAAATAAAACTTAATTTTTGCGTATGCGTATGAGTGAATAGACAGGAGTCGGCTGCATTGAACTTTTAACGCTACTGTGGAGTGCGTAATGGAAATACAGATACAAGGACAGAAACAAAGACAAGGGCAACGACAAAACCACAGACACTCCAGACTAGAGATGGGCGCGGGATAGCGGGACCCGCGGGACCCACGGTACTGATTTAAAATTGGCCGGGATATGCGGTATCGGGAAGATCTGTAAAAATATGGCGGGCGGGACGGGACCAAAATCC